AGAGTGCAGAGCTGGACTACCTCCTGTGTTATTTTTAATGCAGTGAGCTTCTTTTTCCTTTACAGTCCACGAGCAGCACAAATGTCAGGATCAGTGGGTCACTCGAGCACACACCTGAAATACATGAAACATGAGTAAACCTACTTCATCGTTCAGAGGCCACTAATATCACCTGAATACATTTTAAATAAATAGAAAATATTCAAAAAAATAACAGAAAATCAGCCTGAAGAACAATAATTTGTTCTGGACTATTTTTTCAAAATTCATGATGTCTTCATTCATCTCATTAAATATTGAGTGCTTCAGATATTTTCTCATGTGGTTCAGGCTGCTCCCTTCTGCAACTCCATGCAGAAAAAATTGCTTTCCTTATAAACACTAAAGAATCTTAAGCAGCCTGCCATCTCAGCCTATAGCTGAATTCCTGCAGCTGCAAAGTCATTCCAATTATCGACGCCGTATGGAATGAAAGTCTTGTGGCCTTGTGATGTTGCTTAATTGGAATCAGATGCTAATGACACAGTTAGCCCCGAGCACGGTCAGCTGGCTGAGGATGTGTCTGCCGAGCTGCTTAATTGTATCTCCATGGAGGAGGGGAGGAGTTAGACAAACCTCCAGTTAGCATAGCTGCACAAACTGAGAGTAAATCCACGTCTCAGAAAGAGGCTGCTTAAGCTTCTGTTATGAGTCACTGTTGGTTCTTAAGCATCTTGCCTCCCCTGCGACACTAAATATAGTTTATTTAATCTCAGCATGAGACCCAGGGCTTATTTAAAAACACAGTGGCTCTGTAGTGAGGATCCTCACACACAAGGGCCAAAAACCTGTGCAGTGCAGCTCTGTGAAATAAAACAAGTGCAGTGTTCCAGCCAAAAACATATTCAAGATTATGAAACAAAAAGAGAAGAAGAGTGCAGGGAATACCATTCAAATATGATGTCATTAAAGGTGAGTTGTTTCCATATACACTTTACTTTTAAGGTGTTGCTGATGTCTTTCTTTGGGCTGCATTGACTCACTTCCTTATGACGGGGAAAAACAACTCATACCGTCTAAACACCCTGCAGAACTCATCCAATCATTCCTTATGAAGCACAAGAGCAGAAATGATGCAACAACTATGCATGACAGGGACTTCAGCCACTGCTGCATCTCGACTTCTCTTTAAAAATGTAAAGCACAGAGTGACATTTTTTTATTTATTTCAAAAATGTGTAACCATTTCCAACTTTTGTGAGTTGTTTCCCCAAAACAACCTTGACACAATTTGACACTAATGACATATTAAGAAATGTGTTGTTAACCCGGTGTAGGGACAAAGTATCCAAAGGGTGTGAAGTTTCTCTGCAGCAAACATATCATAGAACACAGAGAAAGAAAACATTTCAAAGTTAAATCATAATTAATGTTACAATTAAAGGTAGCAGTCATTTGAACTTCCAAGTAATTTATTACAAAGGTAAATAAGCTCTTTAAAGGAATGTGCGACTTTTTGATCCAGTAGATGTCGCCCCCTTGAGCACTAGAATTAAAACCAAGTGCATCATAATTAAACACTAAGTGCAAGCAGCGGACAGAATCGTCCTTGTCTCGAGCTGCAATGTTGTGTTAGCAGGCTAACGGTAGTGCTCTTTAGTTAGCTTGTAGCTTCACATGTACATTTAAGATGGTATGACCTGTTCTCTGTTAACCACATGGGATTATGCCAGTGGACTGAACCAATCTAAGAGTTTAAAGGGGGATTATTCCTGACAAGCTTTAGCACTCAGCTTTGCATGCTATTATCACTGGTATCTATTGAACATGAGGTAACACACTCACTCTTTATGATATAAACCCTGCCTTATCATAGATTCCCTTGATGTGACAATAAGTTAACCAGCGGGGTGACATTTAGACTGCTAAGTGAGATTTAACAGCGAAGGCTAGTCCTGCACAGAGCCATAAATCAGACAGTGATAATACAACTTTTACAGGCCTGATGGAGGAAGAAAAAAAACTATTTAAGATGATGATTATTTTCTTCTCCATCTGTTCTGCAGTGTCTGCCTACATCCAGCATCTTCTCTGTGTCCTGTGACCGAGGTGTCTTAGAGGTGCCTGCAAATTTGAATCTTGACAATTATTTAGGACCCAACTAAGAAACTTTATCTGAAGCGTGTGAAAATAATTACAGAAAAAAACAAATATGAAGTAAATAAGAATAATGGGATACTAGGAAGCGTGTCTTCTAGGTGGAAATGAGGAAATTAAATTGTGGAGACATTTAGATACAGAGGGGGGAAAGTCTATGTGCAGATTTGATAAGGTGCTTTGTAAACAAGGGCCATCATATAACTGGAGTTATCTTAAGAGTCATAGCTTATCTATGCTTACTGCAGCTTATTAAGGCAACACAAGTTGGAGTTTAGATTGTTTTGAAAATGTCTGATTTCTAAACCATGCTGTGACAGATTCAAACAAAATGAACAATTTAAAAAAGGTTTTCCGACATTACTTTTTATGGACTGTGAACTGTTGACTTTCATAACCAGAGTTTGCACAAGATGACACTGTTATCTTGGATTGATGATTTATGATGCATCTCAAAAGCAAACAGAAAGCTTTTCATAACAGTGATACAACAAGACCGTTTTTGGTCAGTCATTCAGAATCAGGGAACCAGACGCAGCTACAGTCTCCTGCTTAATCTCTCAAACACACAGCAGCTCAGTCCACAAAACCTCAACAAGCAAACACATAGAATAATAAATACATAAAAACACTCCCTTGGTTTGTACAAATAAAAAGCATACAGCACTGGTTTATTTCTTGAGACAAACGCATGTTGTTGTTTTATAATATTTCCATATGTACATTTTCAGTAGTCGTTACATAGATAGTATTTCAGCACAGTTTAAGAACTTGGAACCACACAGGGGAACAGAGATGCATTTAAAAAAAAAAAAAAAAAAATCAATTTTTTGGCTTGTAGGTCAGCGCTGTTCTTTCACCTGTGTTCAGTGATAGTGAAGTTCACGTCGAGCTTTATTTGCAAATACTTTCTGACGATTGTTGGAGCTTTGCATTGTGAACAACAGGTAATAAAATACAATGCTGAGTTGGACTTTCTGCATCTGTTGACTTTAGATGTAAAATAATCTTAACACTCTGCATTACACATCATCAATTATCTCTAAATACACTGTAAAAAAAAAAAACCCTCAAATCTAAGCCAGTGTATGTGTCTCATTTCTAGTCAAAAACTTATACATACACTTATACAGGTCACATATACCTGACGAGTCCTCTTAAACACCTTACTTCAAGAAATAACCACAAACAAATCAAATCAACAAACATGGTCAGGATTTGCTATTCATGAATAAAAGACATCTGCCCAATGGAGAAGGCCAATTCGACTTGTTAAGTTTCTTAAAATTAGATGTTGTGTAATTTACTGCAAAAGCCAAAGTATCACCATTAGGTCCTATATTCAAATGTGGATATTTACAGCAGAAATAAACATGTTTACTGGGTGGGATGGGCTTCAAGATGTCTTCAAAACAGCTTCAAAATGCTTTCAGAGTGATGTCACAGATAGTGCATCTGTGTTTTAAACTGGTACTGATCAAAATTAGGTTTGCTAGCATGTAAGTATGAGTGTTTCCACTTACAGGAAACAGTCCTGACTGCTTGTCATTGAAAAGAGAAAGAAACCAACCACGCACCACTCTTTATCAATGCTTAGGAAGTGAATGACTCCTGCATATCGACATCTGAGTCAACTGAGAAATATGTCATTTATGTTACTTATTTGAAGAAACTAAAGTAGTATCAAATAGATAAGGTGTTTATCAGGACTTGTCAGGGAAGTATTGATTATAAAAAGCTGATAGAATATTTTTGAGTAAATATGAGATAAATACATGTGCTAAGATTTGAGTTTTTGCAGTGTATCACGATGAAGCTATCAACATTTTAAACTGTGATGCTTTTGAAAATCCCCTCTTTTGTTCTCAGTTTTGCTCCTGTTGTTCTGCACTGACTTTCTTAAATAATATTTTATCCTATTTAAAATCCTGTTGCGTGTGAGTTAGGCCCTTAAAAGATAAAGGTGGTGATTTTCTATGGTTTTCTTACTTCGGCTTAAAATGTGAACCAGTCCACGGTTTAGAGATGAACTTTTCTGTCTAAGTAGCAAAAGATACTAGTGACAGAGCATTGGTGTGTTTTTAGAATCGATATATTTGTGTTTTTGTTGATGAATAGACATCCAATGATTTTGCTCTTTGAACTCTGTACTGAACGTCTACTGACTCGATAGGATTGTCTGTTTGTCTTTGTAACTGTGAAGAAGCATTCTGTGGACGTATCACATATTTTATCCTCAAAGGAGCAGCCTACCTTAGTTTGAAACAAAGTAAACAACATTGGTCTGAGTGAAGCAACATACACAAACCTGCAGGCCATTAAACCAAAACAATCTGCTGAAATGTGTTAAAATTCTACATGTACTTATCGTTGAGAACTCTCTGCAAATTTCAACCTTTTAGATCCCTTGTCATTAAAAACCTTTAAAAAGTGGCTTGGCTTGGGGTCAATCAGAATTTTTTTCTTTTTTGGGCTTTTTGTGCCTTTAAGGGAGAGATAGGACAGTGGATAGAATCAGAAATCAGGGAGAGAGAGAGAGAGAGAGAGAATGGGGAATGACATGCGGGAAAGAAGCCACAGGCTGGATTTGAACCTGGGTTGCCCGCTTGGAGGACCATAGCCTCCATACATGGGGCGCGCGCACTAACCAGTGCGCCACCAGCACCATGGGGTCAGTCAGTATTGAGAGATGGATTGCTGTGTTAGCTTTGGTCTTCAGGTGGGTAAATGGGTTTTGGTCACAGTAAGAAAAACATAGAAAAACACTAGTCTTAATATCGCTTACAGAAACGGAAAGGTGTGCTAGTTTATTCCATCATGTACCACACTGCGCAATGAATTTATTAAAGTTTCATAGTCTTACGGTGTGTGTGTGTGTGTGTGTGTGTGTGTGTGTGTGTGTGTGTGTGTGTGTGTGTGTGTGTGAACTGTGACGTGTACTGATAAGCCTGCATTATGGTGCTGTTAAATCAAAAGATGTGACTCTATGAATTGCAACATGCAGATAAAACCTCCACACTGCTCAGCATTTCTTTGCAAATTATTGCACGACTGTATAAATATCCAGACTTAAATGCATCAAATAAATAAGGAACAATCAAGTATTTAGTGCAGCTGATACTGGACTTGGAAGTTGTTGCACAGGCGACTGTTACTGCATGAAGGCATACCTTATTCTCTTTCAACCTTTTACTCCAAGCTGGAAGAGAGACGTACTGCAGCCTGCATTATTGCATACATAAACCAGAAGGTTAAACCCTCCAGAAAACCCAAACAGAAGCCAAACTATTGATTTTTTTTCTCTCTCTGGATTCACACACACAGAAAAAAAAGCCTATTGACCAGACAATACTGGAGCTATCAAGCACACTTAATTCTTTAAACATTCACTTGATAAAAGTAACAAGGATTTCAGATTATAGCAACAATACAGCGGCACAGTTTTAGCTGTGAGGACTGGCGCTCTTCCTCGGCTGTCCTCGTTTGGACCCACAGTGTGGGGTGTTGCCTTCCAGACCAAGTTACACGAGAGAGACGCAGATAGGAGAGGTGCAATACCGTTTAGATCAAGCAGAACACAGGAGCAATTGTTTAACTCACCGATCTGCTTCAACTGCATGACTAATGTCTTTGTTTAGTATGAATCAGTTTGATTTACCAGTGCATCTACATGAAAGGATGTACGTCTTCAAGAAAAGCTTCCTTATAAATTAAGGTTTCATTATTCATCACTTTGCTTTTTGTTAGAAACTGAAAGCAGGGTATCAAGAAGTTAGTGGAGTAACCTCTCAGCCTGTAACAGCAACATTAAATATTTAATAGTACTAAATGGAAACAGTGATGAATTGAAGAGCTAGAACTTGTAGCTGCATGAATAAATATCCAACAATACTATGGCCTTTCCAATGCAAACCTCTAGTTTTAAAGGTAACACAGGCCATCAATGAGGTCATCATATCAGCTAGATGCTAACAGTATAGCGACATCCGACTCCGCCTCATGGCCTCGCTGATTAAATAAGCCGGGCTGATCTCCGGTTCCTCTGTCATCACCACAATGTTCTGCCACTCTCCACAATGGTTGGATTTCTTGATGGTATCCACCACGCAGAGAGCGTAAAGACAATCCTCAAAGGTAGCCGCCATCGTCAGAGGCCTCCCGTCCCAGGTCCGCCTGTCGTCCTGGTCCTCGAAGGCCTGACGCACAGCCTGGATCATGCGGATGGTTCCCGTTAGATAAGGAGAGGGAATGTCACTGAAGGCCTTCTCCGGTAGGGAAGCCTTTTCCAGAGGTGTGGTGTCCTTGAGCAGGAGCTCAGGACCTCCACCGCTTCCTCCGCCCCCGCTGTTCTTCTGTCCGTAAAGGTCCGTCCCAATGACCGTTAACCTCCCCACCGTCCCCACAACGATTACCTCCTGCCGAAACTCCCCGGGCACGTTGAAGTTGAGTGTGACAGTGCAGCAGGCGCCTCCTTCCAAGACCATCTGGAAGGTGCAGAAGTCGTCACTGGTGATCTGCCGGATGCCTCGGATGTGATCAGTTTGTTTGACAAATGTTTTGAGGAAGCCGTGGACTTTTTCCGCTCGCTGACCGGTCAGGAACGTAAGCAGGTCGATGATGTAGCTGCCAACTGAATGCAGACCACCGCCTCCCATTAAGTCATCACAGCTCCAGTTGTACTTCTTCCCCAGGAGACTTCCACTATGGACCTGTAGGACAGAGACAGGTTCAACAAGTTTGGTATTGAATGTGTCTTTTCCTTGACCAATCAAGTCCCTGATTCCAGCTTGCTCTGTAGATGTTGCTTTATTTAAAATAAAAACACCTCAATATTGTTTTTAGTCAACACAGCTAAAAAGCAGCCGACATCTCCATTAAAACTTGACAATCATTCATAGTGTTTCTCATACCTGGGCCTCACAGACCAGAAGCTCCCCGACGTACCCTTCCTCCAACAACTCCTTCATTCTAACAAAGGCGGGCAAGAAACGCAGTACATTTCCCATAATGCTCAGCAGCTTTGGGTAATACTGGGCCGCTGACATCATTCTGAAGGCATCCAGAGGCGTCGCTGTCCGATCACAGATGACGTTCTTTCCAATGCCTTGTAAAAAAAGAGAAGAGATGGATGAGAGTTAGCCAAATGAGCTGCACTGTTTCCGTTTGTTTAAGATAAAAAGAGGTGGTAGGGAAGAAAAGATTCGAGAAAGAGAAGTAATGTGGTCCGCCTAAGCAACACTTGCAGACATAATATCCTCTTGAGCATGAAAACATCCCCTGAAGAAACAATGCAAAATGTGGCAACTCCCCACAGAAGCTGACTCAAGAAGGCCTTTTCTCCGAAGCTTAAGGGTTCTTTAAAAAAGATGCAACAACATAAATGTACTACAGACAGCAATGTGCATAGACTTAAGCTATCAGGGAACATGCACAAATATGAAACTATTAGGGAGACACGTACATGCAAACATTCAGGCACAAAATTTGAATCCCTCATTGAAATTTGGAAGGACCAGAATGTTGGCAGGCAAACAATAAGTTGCAGTAAGACATATGTGATGTCCAGTAAGACTGAGCTTTAGACAAGCTTTACTGCTACTAAAAGAGGCCTGATGGTGAGTAGATAAAAGAGGAACACAGAAGGCAGAGCGGAGACAGAACCATCAGACACAGTGTGAAACCTAATTAAAATCACTTCCAGCGCAACAAAAGCTCCACTGGTGCCAGAAACACCCAAACACAACAGTGATTAGAGCCTGGACAGTGATGTGAAGAGAGAAGAACAGGAACTGTTTCTTTCTTTATAGCATTTTCTCTTCACTGGACAGTTGAATGGAAAGAGTCCAACAGGGATAAGTGAATGTCATGCAAATTATTGTTTAATCGATTAGAATCATCATATCATCTTATTTCGCAGTAATTATGTACTCCTTGGCGTAACATTGATCTTATTACTGATTTATCTGCTGCTTATCATTTTAGTTAAATGATTATTCAGGCTGCATGGATGTCCAAATCAGGACACCTCCTTTCTGTGTGCAGTTTCTCGCATTGCATGCGCGGGTTTCCTCCGGGTATTATGGCTTCCTCCCACAGTCTAAGTGCATGCTCGTTAGGTTAATTGGAGAGTCTAAAATTGCCGGTTGGTGTGAGTGTGCCTCGTTGCGTGCCTCTGTACGTCAGCACTGTGATTGAATGGTGACCAGTCCAGAGTGTACCCCACCTCTCGCCCAATGACAGCTGGGATCGGCTCCAGCCACCCATGACCCCAAAAGAATGAGTGGTGAAGGTAATGGATAGATTTTTCATTAGAGCAGTAGATTGTGGAAAAGCCCAATCCAATCAGAAAAAGTTATGGTGTAGGTAACTGAATCAGTAACGGTCTTAAAACGGGGGCATCTCCATCAAGTGGCCCCGCCCTAACCATTGTGCCACCAGCGCGCCCCTAAAATGCCAATTTTGAAGTGAAGCGTGTGAAGTTATTTATTAAAAATATTACATATCGAAATCACAAAAAACAGACTACAGAGAATTGATGTGACCACACCTCTCCTCTATGTAAGGAAGTAACCAAGCACTTATTCTCACCACTGATACATGCAAGTATTCTTGTGGCCACTTCCTCCACTGTTAGCTCACAATGTCCACTAATCCCTTTTATGGTCACACATGGCAACAAAAAGTAAATCTGCGCACAGAGTAGGGGCATCACTGCACACACACACATTCCTTGAGCCCCTGGAGTGTGAGAAGCAGCATGCTGCTACACTTGCAGCCCAGACTCAGGGTTGTGGTGGGTGGAGGGGCTGTTTTGGAAGTTAAACTTCCCATGCTAATCTGCCATTAGCTTCAATCGACCAAGGCCAGGAAATTAATCCCTCTGACCCAGTTCTGAGGAGCGCCATGGGAGCCCCAACCCACCACCCAACCAACCCGACCCCTGCAGATACAAAGCCATTTTGCCCCCGTCCCTGTCTTTCTGGCAGAGACATTTACAAACAGATAATGGAAATGTGAATTGTCTTGGGTGAAGCCCCTCTGGGTAAATGCTAAATTCTCTTGAATTATTTTTTGGCACTAACATTGTTCTCAGTCTCTTTATAGAACAACAGCTTGGCTAGCTAGAATGGCTAAAGGCAGATTTCACTTTCCCACACAATTTTTCTTTATGATTTGGCCAAAATACATAAAAGACTCCTCAGCAGGGTCCAACATCAAAATTCAACACTTATACAACATTTAAGCCAGATATAACTGAACTTGAAGTTTCTTTTGCTGCCTATCCAACTCCTGACAGTACTGACATGTCACCTCAGGATCTGAGACTGACCTTCAAAGACAGAAAAGCAGGACCTCTTAAGATCAACAATGACCTTTAGCTCCTCGCATTCAATGCTGTGAAGGTCGCCACACAGCCTGTTGACTCATCACAGCTCACAGACTCCGCCTCTCTTAGACGGCGAGAGGTTGGATTGTGTTGCCGTGTTTCCAAAAGATTATGGATGCACCTGAGCAGGACTTAAAAACACAACAGCTGCTGAAGCGAGCCTTGGAATCTATACAACGTGAACGTAGTATCAGTGACATCACCCATTGGTCACTGAAGGGGAGGTTTGATGCCCATCGATGGTTGAAGCTACATTGGAAATGCTCACAGGGGGAGCTAAGTCTGGCTTTAAGCCGCCTCACTAAGGCACCTAATGAACGAGTTATAAAAAGATAATGTACCTTCCACACAATGTGTGCCTGTAAAGACAGCACAAGTTAGCTAGTCAGACCAAAACAGTTTTTTGTATCAGGCTGTTGACGTGTTTATTCCTGCTTTTAAAATGTGTTCTTTTTAGGGCGGGGGGCTATTTATGCCTTTATCAGAAAAGACAGGACAGTTGATAGAGACTGAGACCAAGCAGGAAGAGATTGGGAAATGACATGCAGCAACGAAGCCACAGGTCGGATTCGAATCTAGGCTGCCCACTTAGGGACGGAACCCTCTGTACATGTGGCGCGCAAACTAACCACTAGGCCACCGGCGCCCCAGAAACGAGCATATTCGAATCGATACGTGTGTAGCCAGTTTCAAGTGGACACTCGAGGAACTGCAGTTTGAAGAAGACAATTTACCATTTCTCTTTGTCTAGCAATATAAAACCTTAAATGACAAAAAAACATCATACTGAGGATAAATGATCACACCAACATTAAGACTGGTGAGGTTTAATGAGGTGTGAACACTTTACAGTTGAAGCCTCACAGTGAGAATGTTGGTTCTATGATATCTGTGAAAGTTGGGGCAAAGCTGAATCAACTCAAAGGTCATGTTCTCTGCTCCAGTGGGAGAACATTAATGGAGCAGAATAAACCTCCAGCAAAGCAGCTCAGTCCTCTAAACATCAATTATTCATGTACAGAAGATATCTAACCAGGAGACGTTAAAGACGAAGAGAGAGAAAGATCCTGTGGAAGAAGTGAAATCAATCCTTTATCTATAATGCAAGATTTTACACAGAGATGGAGGTAAAACTGCTCAGTTTAAAAACTTGGCACAGTTTTGGTACACGAGTTAGAAAGGTCACTTTTGAGCCCATGATGAGGACAGCAAATGACAATTTTAATCCAGAAAATTAAGCGCGGCAGAAGCAAAACGGCTCACACACACTCTGCTCTGCTTTTTAAGAAGATTAGAAGAAGCGCTTCCCTCAGCAGCAGTGATGGCAGCAGCCTGCTCCTCCTCAGGTGCCTCCAGGTGTCTTTGATGTGCAGAATACTGACATCCTGTCGGAGACAATCAGCTCATCTCACAGACTGAAATCACATCTTGTCGTCTCACAGACATACCACCCAAAACTCTCTCAAACAAACCCCACTGAGAGGGGTAGACACGGCTGTGGACCATCACTAACACGAGGCATCGTTTCTTAGAAGCAAAAACACTAAACAGCAGTGGGGCAAACATCAACATCTCATCCCTCACTTATACATATTCAGCTCATGATCACCTGCTGAAAGGAAAATTCCTTTATCTCATTAAAGAGACCGGAGAATGAGGCGACAACGAGAGGCAATATAAGTAATTGGATGGAACCGATGATTCACTGAATCTTCATTTAATGTGTATGCATAGCATTGTGACTTCATCCACAGCATTAAGTAATAGCAACTGAAGTGTGTATTTATTTCTGCAGCAAGGTCAGATTTATCAGAAAATCTGCTGAATGATGATAGTACAAAACATGCAGGGGGCGCTGTTCTTCAGAGGAAATCAGGTTTAGAAATGGAAAAAAGCTACATAAAAAGTCAAATTTGTCTAAGTCAAAGATATCTACTGAGTTGAATCATAAAATGACCCTATATATGATCAGACATTAAGGAAACATGCTATGTTGAAGTGCTGGCTACTCTGACGACAACGCAGCAGCCAGTATGTCCTCCTTATAAGTTTAGATTCCAGTGAGGAATGGTTTGTAACCAACATTGTGCAACTTTAAATAAAACATATAAATAATGACAGTCTGTGACCTGAAGGGAGGTGAACACAAGGTGCTCTGAGTTAGCAGTCGCCTCCAGGGACTGAAGGAAACACGTGTTTCTATTTTAGACATTTTCATTATTTCCTGAAGAACAGGTAACACTTCTTCTGAAATAACTCAGAGAAAGGAACAAAGGGAAAGAGGGCGAGAAATATGCGGAGGCAAAGAAAGGCAGAATGAAAGAGCAGCTGCATCTTTACGAGCGAACAAGGCCACCTCTCCCCAGTCCTGCACTCCTCGGCTCGCTGCCACACACATCATCTGTGCCTCGCTGCATGGCTCCTGTGTACTCTACTGAAAACCAATATTCACTGCAACACAAACACAGGAGGCCCTGCGTTAAAGGAGCGAGATAAGGCTTCAAATGTGTGTGTGTGTGTGTGTGTGTGTGTGTGTGTGTGTGTGTGTGTGTGTGTGTGTGTGTGTGGGGGGGGGGGGGGGGGGGGGGCAGAGGGAATGAAATCACTGCAGGAGATTTTGTGTGTTTATTTCTCCAGACGGAGCACAGGAGCAGTAAAACTCAGAGGAAGGATAAAGAGGGAAGAGGCAGCTGTGCAGGAAGGTCAAGTTAGGTGTA